GTAACAACCTTTTTGGAAAGATCTCAGGCATTTAAAATTTTCAGTTTTCATGGCCAGCAATCCCAGTTTGGGAATTTTATCTTATAACAACATTTGTGCGTAGGAATGTATGTAAGATGTATTATAATGTTGTTTGTGTAGTTGAAGGGAAAACACTGAAAAAAACAGTATGAACATACTGTTCATGTATGTATTATGTATGAATTATGTATGTATTATGGATAAATTACAATTCATCCATAATATGGAATATCATGTACCAATTAAAAAGAATTCTCCAGGCCGGGCATGGTGGCTCATGCCTGCAGTCCTAGCACTTTGGAAGGCCAAGGTAGGAGGATCACTCAAACCCAGGAGTTTGGGGTTGCAGTGAGTTATGATGACACCACTGCACTCTAGTCCAGGAGACAGAACAGGACCCTGTCTCAAAGAAAAAAAAAAAAAAATTCTCTAACTTTATCTTGATCGGCCTGAAGGATTACTTAAGCCAAAAACATGTTACAGAATTGTGTGATCCTATTTGTTGGAAAAAAAATAAGTGAGAGGAGGGATCTCTTTCTATTTTTTGCTTGACCATATATGAAAGAGTAGAATGATAAATATCAAACTATTAATAATTACTTTGGAGACAGGGCTTAAAGAGGGAAACTTGGGAAATTGTTCACTTTGTCTTCATTTTCTATATTGTTTGGCTTATAACAATAAGCATGCCCTATTTTTCTAATTTAAATTTATAATATTAGATTGTTTTTATATAACTTTTTAAAAAACACACTCCTGGCTAAAACTGGAACTCCTATGATCAAATCAATAAAAATAGCTCTATGTACAAAAGAGTGAAATTTGTCCAGCCCACCTCACGCAACTTACTTTTCTGCTTCTAAATTTGATGAGATTTCTATTTAAAATAGATCAAGCCCCCCAAATTACCAGTGATTTGAAAGTATAAATTATTTGCTTTGGGAACTTAAAAGAAAGCTGCTGGCTTCTTACCCACAACGGCTGTTTCATACCTCTTCTACTGATGTCAAGCTCTCACTTTCCAAACCCTAACCATTTCCTCATCCCTGTTTCCTTCTATGTTTGGTGTTTACCTCTTTGCTACCAATTTCCTTCCTGTCCACTATACTGTGGCCAGATAGTTTTGTAAAAATCATCTAACAATCTTTCCTGTGAATTAAAACCATCTAACTTCAGCTAATATTCCTGGCTGCCTTCTCCCTCTATCCATTTTTCCAGCCCCCTTGAAACCACAGACGTAGCCATATTCTTTCAGGCTTCTGTACTGCTGCACATGCTCTTCCCTGTGCCTGGAATACTAGTACCTTGAGCTCTTCATTTATTCCTGGTGAAATCAGTTAAGCTCTAAGTCAGATACTGAATCCTCTTTAAAATCTTCCATAAATCCCTGGAGAGTCAGTCACCCCTTCTTTGCCCCCACATTAGAACAATTGTAATTATTCTCCTGAAGTAAGGGGGTCATCTTGGTTTTATTAATGTAAGTGTCTTGACTGACTGGCATATAGTAGCTGCTCTGGAAATGTTTTCTGATGGACAAAAGGAATGAACAAATGAAGGAACTTTTAAGAAATAAATGAGCCAAGGGCTTCTGTCTTCCAGTCCTGTGCCCTCTGCTTCATTGCCTGTTCTGGTCAAGGTTACTTATATTATCTCATGTTATTTTCAGAGAGTCAAGATTTGTTGGCATCTGTTTGTTATTAGTGAAGAAAAGTATCCAGGCTTTTAGGTCACCCTCTTGGTCTTGGACAAGAGGTAGAATGAGATTTGACTCCTGAGATTTGGTAACTCTGCAGCTAAAGGAACAGGGACATCTCTGCCATTGGGGTATGAGTGGCTGCAGGGAATAGAGTATGACTTGGCTTATTCAATGCCAAGAATATTTTCCCCACACGTTTATGGAAGGATCCAATAAAGTTATCTTATGCCATTTAAAATCTGTTTGCTTTGTGGGTTTAAGTTTTTCTGCACAAAAATTGTATTAAACCAAGATACTATAACTCAACAAAGTACTCTTTTTATCCTTTTAATTTTGAAAGTTGCAATAAACACACATTTGGAGAGGTAATAAAATGAGGAAAAATAGAGCTTACAAAGCAAATTGTGCAGCTCCTAAGAAGGAAAGTTACTTTAAAGTTTATCCTTGCTGGAAATGGCTGGGCCTCAACAATGATTTAGCAGAGTTCCAACTGATGAGTTTAGATTTATGAGCCAGGTTTTATTAAGGAACCCAGAATAGCATATGTTCACTTTGAGAAGAATTCTGGCAGTTCAGCAGTGTCATAAATTTTCAAATGTATGTTTTGATTAACACATTTTGTTGGCACCCATGTTCTTTTCCTTATTGCTAATACTACTGTGAACATGTGTCTTTCTGCAGCTGTGGTGCTCCCATTCAAGTTTCCGAGGTGAAGCTACTTTCCTTCTCATCAGGGCAGCTAACTGTTTTCCTCCCAGCCGAGGTGAAGGCCATCGGGACAGAGCATGATCACGTCCTGCCTCTGCAAGAGCTGGCCATGAGAAGTCTGTATCACACCTACCACAACTTTCTAAAAGGTACATGGGACTTTTCTTTTTTTTTCTGTCTCTCATTCAGTGAACTTAAAAATTATGTTTTATGTTGCCTGTTTTGGCCTTCATCTTTAAAAA